CTAGATGACCCTGGAGGCCCCTTCCAATTCTATGATTCCATGTTTCTGTGATTCTATTCCATCATATCTCCAAACTGGCCTTTAGACCTGCCGTCTCTGTTTCAGCACTTGTGGCCGCAACTTCACTGAGCTCAGCACCGAAAGATGCAGAGACGGGGTCATTTTGTAGAAAAAGAGCTAGGGGAACTCATTAGCATAACTCATTAGCATATGCCACACCCCCTGACATCAGGGGCCCGGCGGTGGACCTGCAAGGCCAGCGGGAGTGTGAGGAAGCCCCGCCAAGGCCCTCCCTGGCCCCAGGCAGGCAGGGGTGGGGAGAGGCAGGGAGGAAGCAACTTACCCTCCCTCTTCTCCTGCCTCCTCCTGGCTGAATGAGGGCCGGAAGCGGGGCGGCCGGAAGCAGGGGGCGGGGCTTCGTCATGTGCCCCGCCCCCCTGCACCTCACCTGGGGGAACTGCGATCCCCCGCGATCCCCCCCCGAAATGACCTCTGCGTTCAGGGCTCTCCTTGTTTCATACAAGACCAGCTTTTGATAAACGCCATCCGTTGCCAGCCTGAACCGCGGTCTCTGGGTGCAGGCTCCTGGAGAATGTCTGGGGGGGGGCTCGTTACGGTGCCATCGCCAGTCCTGACGGAAAGCAATTAGAATTAAATGGACTCAGAGGTCATCAGGAAAGAGAGAAATGGAGATGGGGGGGAGGGGAGGGGAGCAATCTCTTCCGCTTGTGCAAATATTATCAGCCGGGGGCTGCCCGTGGGTCATCCCGGATGCTGAATTTTGACATGCGGAAGGCTTTGGTGTGGTAATATTTGCTGACAAGTAGAAGCTCTGGAATGACTCCAATCGGGGGTGAAGGCAGGAAAGGTCCCCATCGTGCCAAAAGTTCAGAGACCAAAGACGTCTATATACAGTGATCCCTGTGACAATTCACAGAGGAAGCGGGGGGGGGCTGGGCTCAGAGAAAGCACGTGCCTTCAGATTTCCCTAGCATGATTGTCTTTTTATTTATTTGCTGGCCCCACTGGTGGACCTCCTGATGGCACTGGTATTTCTGGCCACTGTGGGATACAGAGTGTTGGACTGGATGGGCCTTTGGCCTGATCCAACATTGGCATCTCTTATGTTCTTATGTTCTTATGAGCGGAGCTCGGACAGTAAGAGGCCCGGGGGTTGGGCACATGCAACAAGCCCCACCCCCTGCTCCCAGCAGCCCTCAGTCAGAAGCAGCCAGGAATGTTGCAGAGCTCCCCTGGCCCCCCGGTCCAAAACAGTCCAGTGGCACCTTTTTTTCCTTCCCTTCTTCCCCTCCTTCCTTCCTTCCTTCCTTTCTGCCTGCACAGATCTGTGGTCCCCGCCCCACATAGATAGCAATCCAAAACCATCCAGTGGCAGCTTTAAAACCAAGTTTTATTCAAGTACAAGCTCTCCCTCCTCTGTGAGGACAGATCTGCGCGTTCTCCACCCCCCACCCTCAGCAATCCAAAACAGTCCAGTGGCATCTTTAAGACCAAGATTTATTCAGGTACAAGCTCTCCCTCCTCTGTGAGGGAGGCCCTGGTCGAGGCAAGTCGGACGTCCCTGGGGCCGGGGACCACCAGAAGATGTTGATCTATAGACCTCAGTGCTCTACGGGGCTCATATGGGGACTGCCAATGCTATGCTGGGGATTATTAGGAAGGGTATTGTAAACAGATCAGCCAATATCATAATGCCGCTATATAAATCAATGGTGCGACCTCATTTGGAATACTGTGTGCAGTTCTGGTCACCACACCTTAAAAAGGATATTATAGCTTTGGAAAAAGTGCAGAAAAGGGCAACTCGAATGATAAAGGGGTTGGAACACTTTCCCTATGAGGAACGGTTAAGGCGCTTAGGGCTCTTTAGCTTGGAGAAACGACGACTGAGGGGTGACATGATTGAGGTTTATAAGGTTATGCATGGGAAAGAGCAGGTAGAGAAAGAGGTACTTTTCTCCCTTTCTCACAATACAAGAACTCGTGGGCACTCCATGAAATTGCTGAGCGGTCGGGTTAGAACGGATAAAAGAAAGTACTTCTTCACCAAAAGGAAGTACTTCTTCACCCAAAGAGTGATTAACACTTGGAATTCACTGCCACAGGAAGTGGTGGCGGCTACAAGCATGGACGGCTTCAAAAGGGAATTAGATAAGCATATGGAGCAGAGGTCCATCAGTGGCTATTAGCCACAAGGTATAGATAGGGACTCTGGGGCAAGTGATGCTCTGTCATCTTGGTGCTTGGGGGGGGGTCAACAGTGGGAGGGCTTCTAATGTCCTGGCCCCACTGGTGGGCTTCTAATGTCCTGGCCCCACTGCTGGACCTCCTGATGGCACTGGTATTTCTGGCCACTGTGTGACACAGAGTGTTGGACTGGATGGGCCTTTGACCTGATCCAACATTGGTGTCTCTTATGTTCTTATGTTCATAGGGTTGCCAGATCTGGGTTGGGAAATACATGGATGCTTTGGGGGTGGAGCCGGGAGAGGGTGGGGTTTGGGGAGGGGAGGGGCCTCAGCAGAGCACAATGCCACAGAGTCCGCCCTTCACTGTAGCCATTTTCTCCAGGGGAGCTGATCTCGGTCCGCTGGAGATCGGTTGTAAAAGCGGGAGATCTCCAGGCCCCGCCTGGAGGCTGGCAACCCTAGCATGACAGTGGTGTGGCCACTAATAGAGTGGGTGGAGATAGGTGCTGTGCACTTGGTCACAAATTAGGAGCGGGGCCAGGACGTTTGCTTCTACTCTCTCTGTATACACTCTGGAACCGTCCCATGAATCACCGCCGCCTTTTGCATAGGCCCTCCTGTATGTGTAAAAAGTTTACTCTGTAAGTAGAGGCCTGGTTTGGCTGCCGTTCACACAGCATAACTGCTGATCCATGCCGTCGTCTTGTATAAGGAAGCTGGGCGCCCTCGAGGGTTGTGGAGGCAAGGCAGTGTCACAAAAGAAAAATCAAAAGAAAAAGAAACTCTCGTCTACTTACAGGAAGTCCTTATCATAGAGTTCCGAGCAACTCCTAGAGCTACCTGGAAGTGACAAAGGGTAACTCTTGGGATCCTTGGAAACTCTATGGTAGAACCGGAAGTTCTTTTTCTTTTTTCTCCCACCGCTGGCAATGGAAGGCAACGGGACTTGGGGGCAAGGGATGTGTCCCCACTGGTGGCTTGACAGCCCCACCCTTGTAGCGCTGCAGACGCCAAACATGCCTGCACCCAAAGGGAGCAGATCATTAATTAGGGATGCTCTGTATTCTTGGTGCTTGGGGGGCAACAGTGGGAGGGCTTCTGAAGTTCTGGCCCCGCTGGTGGACCTCCTGATGGCACCTGGGTTTTGGCCACTGTGTGACACAGAGTTTCAGACTGGATGGGCCATTAGCCTGATCCAACATGAGGTCTCTAATGTTCTTATATCTGGGGAAGTGATGCTCTGTATTTTTGGTGCTGGGGGGGGGGCAACAGAGGGAGGGCTTCTGGAGTTCTGGCCCCGCTAGTGAACTTCCTGATGGACCCTGGGTTTTGGCCACTGTGTGACACAGAGTGTTGGACTGGATGGGCCACCGGCCTCATCCAACATGGCTTCTCTTATGTAATTATGTCTGGGGCAGAGATGCTCTGTATTTTTGGTGCTTGGGGGGGGGCAACAGGGGGAGGGCTTCTGGAGTTCTGGCCCTGCTGGTGGATCTCCTGATGGCACCTGGGTTTGAGCCACTGTGTGACACAGAGGGTGCGTTCAGATGGGGCATTTGCAACGGTATAGGTGCCGGTTGGAATCGGTGTACTTACCGGCGTTCACACGGCGAACATCTGCCTTCCGTCCCTAACCGTTGCAAAGAGCCTTAAACCGTTGTATTCTGCCACTAGGTCCCCAAGTGGTGGTATCTTGAGTGCAACGGTTGTAATCGCTTAACCCCCCGTCTGATCGCTCTCCACCGTTGCAGAGCCACTTCCGTTCGGAAGCCCGATGCTTCCGATTTTCGCCGGCCATTTTTTTTTAGGTCGGCGATATGCGCTTGGGCGAAGCTTCACCTCGGCGTTTGTTTAAAAGAAAGAAAGAAAAGGTCCTTAGTTTAATGTTTCAGAGGAGTCTGGGACCTCAGGGAGGGCACTTTGCTCTTTAAACTTTAAAGGTAAGTCCTTACCTTTAAACTTTAAATGTAAGATGGGGTGTTTTGCGCATGCGTGAAGATCGCCATTCTGTGGATGGCTGCCTATGCGCATGCGCAAACTGTGTTAAAAAAAAAAGACAAACCGCCGATGCCTGCTGTGTGTGAACGGGCATACAGCGATGGGCTCTGCAGACAGGAGGTAAGTGTGATCGCGTTTCAGCCGGCATAAACTGCACCGGTTCCAACCGGTACAGTTTATGCCGGCTGAAACACCCCGTTTGAACGCACCCAGAGCGTTGGACTGGACGGACCATTGGTCTGATCCAACACAGCCGCTCTTATGTTCTTATGAATTCCATCCAGAGTGGCTGAAAATCAGTGCTAGACGTTATACGTGAACATTTGTTTGGATCCAGCTTAGTCCAAAAGCTGCTATAGAGTTTCACAGGAGGGGAAGAAATCCACGTTTAATTGTGTGTGGGGGGGGTACAGTAATAAATAAATAAAAACCCCGTCAGTAGGAGGTGAGTGCGGGAGCCGGCTGGCTTTAAAAGGCTTGCTCTTACACATGCAAATCTTTAATTAAAGACACTCATAAAACTATAATGAACCGTTCATTTCATTAAATGGGGTGAGTCATTTCATTAATTTTTAGCAAACCACAGAGCCGCCGCGCTGCCCTCCTCTGCTGGAATTCAAAAGGAAGAGAGGAACTGTTGGAATGATCTTTCCTTGGAAGGGGTGTCCTGACGGTTGCTTCGGCTCCAAATGCACGCCGGCGTCTTTTGTTTTTTTACCTCTCCAAAGTTGGCTTGACAGTACTTCTTGAAATCACACTGCTGATTAACTTCTTGGCCATTTCTCCCCTAAGCTGCCCCACTCCGGGATGTAACGGTTCGGGACACATCCGGGGAAAGTATGCACGGCACAGGAGGTAAGTTGGATTGTTTCCCACAGCGCCAATACCAGTCAGTAGCATCCAGGGGTCATTTCCTGCGGGAGCGCAGAGGAGCGGAGCTCCGGCAGTAAAGAGCCCAGGGGGCAGGCACATGCAACAAGCACCACCCCCTGCTCCCAGCAGCCCTCAGTCAGAGCAAGAAGCAGCCTGGTAAGTTGCAGAGCTACCCCCGCCCTGGTCTAAAACAGCCCAGTGGCACCTTTAAGACCAGGTTTTATTCAGGTACAAGCTCTCCCTCCTCTGCGAGGACAGATCTGCATGATCCCCCCCCCCAATAGCTAGCAATCCAAAACAGTCCAGTGGCGCCTGAGCGGTGGGCGTTGCCTTCTGACACACTTCCGGTGATGTCAGGGGGCGTGGCATATGCAAATGAGTTAATAATAATAATATACTTTATTATTATATATTATTAACTTGATTATTATATAATAATAATAATATACTGAGCCCGCTCGCGGGGAGGGCGGGGTATAAGTTTGAAGAAATAAAT